AATTTCTTCGAATATGTGAGCATTGATAATGGCATTTTTACAAGAGAAATGTTGACCGATGAGCAAATTATAGACCCCGTAACCTCATCTACAGCTTTAAGCGATAATGAGAAAGATGACGATTTAGGTGAAACGTATTCTACTGTAGACTCTAATGCTGTTCCAACCATTTCTGAAATGACAAAAAAGTATCAGAAACTCGGAATTTTCTACAATCACGCCAAGTTCCTAATCATATCTGGGAGTTCTTTTGCGATTTTGAAAACTACATAAATAACATCTATTTTTGCAGCAGAAATGTACAAACAAAAATTACAGACTTTATGAAGTAGATTTCAAATTGAATTTTGTTTATATTTTTGTGTTCTTTTTAGTCATACCTACTAACTTCTACTACTCTATGTAAAAATAACGAAATAAAATACACCACGTGTTTTTGTACTATTATTCCCTTATAGCGAACTCCGGATATAACAAACCAGTTTTAGTTCATTTTTCAAGTTCGTTATATCCGGACTCAACTGTACTTATAGAGTCTCGTCACTGTAAAGAATCGTCTACAAACATGGCAAACCAATATAACTTTTTTCGAAATTGTCTCTGATAGAATTAACGAATTCATTGATTTTTCTATTTCAGAAACCACTTTTGCGCAAAGTACTTTTGCGCGTAGGTACTAAAAGTAAATTCTCTATAAGGCCATACGATTTAATTACAGATTGAAATTATCTTACGTGATTGTGAACGTAATAAGCGTTGGCCTTTGTATCACAATTCTTTGAATCTACTGAAAAAGATAACTGAACTATTTAGTATGGGAACAGTAACAGAACGGCCGGCTCTAGTGATAAAGTAAAAAGTGGTTAGTAGACTAGAGTTTTGGGATTTGATTGTAAAACTGGGGCTGTTTTAATTCTAATCGAATTTCTCAAAACAATTATAACATCGTTCATCTGTTATAACTGCCTTTGTACTGCATTTTGCTGGGAGCCATCTCGTTATGCTGTTTGTGAGGTGTAACTTTGTGATTAATTAGTGAAGTAGGTACTACTAGGAATTTAGCAACAATAATAACCCATAAAAAGTCATTTAAAAAACGTCTAATTTATATTCGCATTAAAAAAATAATTTATTGCGTATGGAGGTTACGTATATGGAAGAATGATATGTTAAGTTCATGACAATGATCTTGAAAGAAAGAACTAATTAATACGTCACTCGATGGTACCTATGCGTACTAATATCGCGCGTTTTCCCCACCTCTAAACGTGAAGGTTTCATTTTAAAAACCACTCTTTCTTTATTTTAAGTGATAAACAGAAAACTCCTTGTGAACTGAATAGTTGTTAATATCAAAAAAAGTTTTATTAAGTTATTTCATTGCACCTATTTAGCCACTTTATTGGTGCTTTGTAGGTGAATACTTTTCCAAAAACAGTTTTAAAAAAATCTAGAAACTGTGCTTGTGAAAATAGTGCTTTGCGATATGGAGCTAAGATACGGATGGGCCGTTAATAAGGGTAAGTAGTTATAAATTGGTCATTTTTATTATTCAAGATGCTCATAAAAATCGATTAAATTTTAAGGTAGCGAAAAAGTTGTTCAACTCTTTCAAGTTTTAATGAATTTCGTGATAAATCTGCCCGTCATTGTAACACTATCAACAGGAAGCTAGCTACATTTATGAAACATTTTATTTTTAAAGATAAACAGCGATTATTTGGTTCATTAAGATAAAATAAAAAATGGTAGATGACTTAATTAGCTATAAACTTGTTTATTTATTGTTGTTTTCGGATCATAGTGATAAAGTAATCTAACAGATGTTATGAAATACTATTGAATTAAAGCCGTCTTATTTAGATCGAGAGTTTGAAAGTGGATAGTGCTACTTGTCGAATATTGTCAATTAGGTGGAATTATCATCACAGTAATTAAACCTAAGCTTGATAAAACGTCGGGAATTTATTTATTTGAGCTGACCATTAAACAACATGACATGAAAATTAAATTATTCTTACAATCTGGATATTACTGAAATAGTGGTAATCAGTTACAAATTTACTTTTGATGGAAGTAAACCTTGTAAAAAAATGCCTTCTCTTAAAATCATTAGGACTAAAACCAATCACTGTTTATAGGACTTTTTAAAACTAACTTTAAAATTGAATGAGTCCGTTGCATCGTAAAATGAGCGCTAAATTGCAGTGTTCTGTTTTATTGGCCAAAGTATTTAATTAGGCACTTTATATAGGTAGATAGTGGCACGAACCGCACTTACTCCTTTATATATTTGCTTAGACGATATTAACTAGCCATTAGGAAAAGTCCAAAAAGGGCCATGTGAGAACTACTCCTACATCTAATGTTTTTACTCGCTAACTCATCCTCCATCATCCAAATACTAATTCTCCAACAACTTTTCCTTAAAATAAATCCGAGTTTTAAAGCTCAATACTGTTTAAGTTGATGTTCGACGCTACACTATTCGTAGTCAATGGCATTATTGCAATTTCACAATGACCAGTCGGCAAACTGCCGGGAAAATCTAATCAAAGCGAATATGTGTTTGCTACTAATTACGCATTCTCTCAGATACTCTATACACATACAGGATAAACTGTGTACTGTATGTAAAAAAAATCGTGGATGTGACTGATGCTTCTTACTGATTTAGACGCATTTAAACAGAAAATAGTGGATATTCCCTTAATTACTATACATATTACTATGGTAGAACACGTCAACTAAAGAACCTTTTTAAAGTTTCTCATTTAACTGGTCGATTAGTACTTTAAAATGAGACAATATACATTAGATCTATCTATTAATCACGTGGTGCCAAAGTTGATCAGCTTGCCTTAAAATATCAGCTATAAAAGTAATACAGTTAAAACTGAAAAATTATTGCGTTATGCAAATTAACCCTGCCTGTTGATGCTTTTCAACTGAATGATGTTTGAATTATTTTTCTGAACTCAATCAACATTTCATTTCTGAACTTGCCTGATTCCTTGGCCCAATTACTGAGAATCTTCCTTGAATCCGAAGAGAAATTATCATATAATATGTTTGCATCAGCCGAGCTCGTAAAACGTAAGGTTGATGGGTACCTACTTATCACTAAAATGGAAGCAGAGTTTTAAATTCATTTTTGGGTTTGGATCATCTAGTTTTGGATTTCGACCAGTTGTTTTACCTATTTTTTGCTGCTTAGATAGTTTGAGTAACGGTGACCATCCATTTAAATTACTTTTTAAATATTTACTTACTATACTGTCCTAAAGCACATTGTTAAAAATTGTCCTTAGCAAATTGGCAAAAACACAGAACAGAACTAATCAACGTAACATTAAAATTCGGGCTCGAAAATGTCCACTTTCGTCTAAGTATTTTGAATTAGTTTAAACCATGGTTTCTGTCACAGACCATGTATTTACAAAACAAATGTTTAATTCACGAATTTCAGTTTCTAAACATTAAACAAAGTATAATACATATACAGAACAAATTCTCGTTGAACTTGAGGAATTCAATTATTTTTTGGTCATTATGACTTTTAGAAAATGGTCATCAGCGTAAGCTTCACAGAGTTAACGACAGGAAATAATCAAGTTCTAGGAGAATTTGTTTTATGGACTAGACCTGAAACCTATTAGCACCATATCGCAAATATCCGGATACAAATTTAATATTTAAAAAATCTTCTCGGCAAATACTACTTTACGGCTGGGTTTGCCTTGACAATTTTTATGATTTTTATGCATTCTTCTTACACATATTATAGTTTGCAACTTTTCGTTCAAATGAAGAAACGGCTTAACCTGAAAGAATATTAGAAATATAGTGAAATTCAGGATTTCGGCCTTCTTGACATAGGCCCACTAGTTTAGCTGAATTTTATTACTGAAGTTCCTGTTTGATTAAAAAGACTAATTAATATTTAAGGTGTGATATCCTTAATGGCAGTTGGGTTACTAATGGTTTGCACTTCCACGTTGATGTTTGTGCATCATCCGTTGCCCACCATAGTGAAAATGGTAAGTTATCAATTAACAACTTTAAATGCCCACGATTAAATGCCCTGATATTTCACATATTTTGCAGTTGTTTAATTTCTCGGAAGGCAGCATATTTTTCAACATCTGGTCCGCTCCACCCATTGATGTTTTTTTGAAAATATATATGTTTAATGTTACAAATCCTAAGGAGTTTTTGAGTGGCAAGGAGAAAATGAATGTTAGTGAAATTGGACCGTATGTTTATAGGTGAGAATAGGCCAGTCAAGCTCCCACTTGATCACTTAGAGCAGTCGACAGAATCGGCATAAACTGCGCAAAAAATTAACATGTTACGTTCCATTCTAGGGAAGTTTTGACGAATCAAAACGCAACCTTTAACGACACTGATGGTACTGTAACGTACCAACCACACAGAGAGATTATTTTCGCCCCCGAAAAATCCGTGGGCGATCCTAAAGTGGATCGCGTTTTAACAACAAATATAGCGTTAGTGGTAAGGTCGTTTTTATATTGCTTTGAAATTATCAAGAAAAAAAAACGACGAGTGACTAATTAATCTGTCTGTATCAGACTATGAAGGCTTTCACGGCCGGTTAAATCACATTTAGGAATGTTTCTGGGCCTTGAAGCCGTGATCTATGGGAATTTCTTCCTGACGTTTCGTCCACAACTGCGGTGGACATTTTCAAAGGCGATGAGGCAGTGGGCGAAGTGATCTCCCGTGCTTAGTCGGAAATAAATTCAAATTTCCATGTCTTTCATACCTTCTAGAATGGATTAGCTGAGTTGTTCGCTCTTGAGCATCCATTTGTGATTAAGTAAAATAACTCGAAAGAACGGGCAGTTGGTTGGCTAAAAGACAGATCAAACTATATGAAATGATTAACAAATTCTCATTCGAATGAATCAAGCTAAATTGAAGTTTCCATTCAAGCACGCAGTTGGCATCGGAAGTCTCTCTCGAACCCATAGACTCCCGAGAGAGATGCAAGATGGCCAGCGCGTTGCTACGTGCCAAGTTGATACCTTTGCGGCTAAAAAAATCGGTTTATATTGAAGCGAATCTGAGATCTCTGATTTTCGGATTGAGATTTTTTGCATCCAAACCAGTGGCGTGCCCCAACTGGTAAGTTTTTCAAGCTTTTAGACAATGGTGAAAACATGTTCTTCGCCAAGCCATTCGTGAAGCACGAATGGCTTGGCATCTTCAGAGGTGATTGCTGCGTTGAGCAACCCACCTCTGAAGATGTCAGCCACTTGAGCTGGCGAAACATCAGGGAGAACCTTCCTCCACCATGGTCTAAATCCCGAAGGTGGCCTACTGGATCCAGCAGTTGAACCATTCTTAGTCGGAAAGCACGGGAGGTCMCTTCGCCCACTGCCTCATCGCCTTTGAAAATRTCCACCGCAGTTGTGGACGAAACGTCAGGAAGAAATTCCSATAGACCACGGCTTCRAAGCCCGGAAAACATTCCTAAATGTGATTTGACCGGCCGTGAAAGCCTTCATAGTCTGCTCATAAATATATCGTTTTTATGTAGGGTGACAAATCTTATTTTTGTTTGTGCTTCTAGGGTATCCAAGCTTACTTTAAAGACCTGGGATTCTTTGCTAGTTTGGGATTCTCAGCCGCTGCTCGATCGTTTGGTGCCGAGCCAATAATAAATATCACAATCGACGAGTACTTGTGGGGCTACAACGACCCCCTAATCACTTACGCCCACTCGATACTGCCGTTTTGGATTGACTTCGACAAGTTTGGAATTTTCGCCACCGTAAGCTTGCTGTGGTCAAATTTCCAAAGACCAATTTGTCAAAGATTTGTTTCAGATGATAAGCAGAGACAATGGAAACACGCTGACAATGGTGAGGGATCCATCAAAATACCACTCACAAACCGAGTCTCTTTTAACGGAAGAAGAGCGTAATTCCGAGTACCACTTGGTAAAGTGGAACAACTTGGCCGGGCTGACAGACTGGGGTTATCAGCGACTTCCGAACAAAAGCCTTAAAAAATGTCAGTTGATTGAAGGTGCCTTTGATGGTACCATACTGCCTAAAAACTTGCGAGCCAACAGAAGTTTGACGGTGTTCCGAAAGGCTTTTTGTAGACCAGTTACTTTACAGTTCGTGCGGGACACTGTCGGCAAGCAGGGATTACAGCAATATGAGTACAAGTTTGATGATAACATGTTTGGCGTTGGCGAGACAAATGAGTGCTTTTGCTACAAAAACAAGTGCGTCAAAGGCTTCCAGAGCATCGCGCCTTGCTATTATGGAATGCCTATTACGCTTTCCCAGCCCCACTATCTGAATGCGGATGAGGCAATATTAAAAACCGTCAACGGCATGAATCCCAATGTTGAACAGCACGGCAGCAGTTGCATCATTCAGCCCTTAGTCGGAGCCCCATTAAGTGGCAATATGAAGATCCAAGTCAACATAGATGTAGGTCAAACGATCGGAAACCATAAAACCGTACCATTCAACAATATGCAAGTTCCATTGTTTTGGGTAGAAATCACCACAGCCGAAATGCCCACACTGATGATTATAACGCTGCACATGTTGTGCAACGCTTTACCGATCATTTTGGAAATAATCAAATACCTGCTTGGGTTGGGTGGTTTAGCGATGATCTCGGGTTCAGCGCTCTACATTTTGCTCAAAACTCCTGTTCGTATCCCGGGTCGGATCAGTTTCAGCAATTCCGAATACGTGCCATTTCCCATTATTTCTATACCATCCGATTTACTGGATAAATGCGAAAAGAGGATGTCTCTCAAATGAATTCCATGTGATATGTTTGCTGAGTGTGAGTAGGCCAATCAGTTGTAGTGGGGTCTGTCTCCCTAATCGCGCCCTAGTGGGTACAGTAGGGGCATAGACGAACAGGAGATTTTTCCATTTAGAGGATTTCACACTTTTCTTGTTACTTGTTGTTGACATAAGCAATCTAAATAGACTGATTTAAATTATTGTTATTGTAGTATATTGGTTAGTGAGAATAGTCGTATGAAAAATGTTGTTTTGGTTGTACCTATAGTGAACAATGTTGAATGAAAACATTTTAAGTAAACATTGAA